TTTTTTTTTTGGAGTTATTCACCAAAAAATTATGCCACGTCATTAAAAAAACGTCTACATTGGATTAAAAAGTATCTACATTAGATTACTAACGGCACATAGTATCACATCAATTTTTGGGTGCCACGTAGTGCATTTTGTAATGGTACTGTGACGGCACGTTAAAATGTTGGGTTTTTAACGGGTTTTGAAAAATTGAAGGCGTGAATAGGGAAAAAAAATTTAGGAAGGTGTTGATCGCGAAAAACAATTAAGTGTAGGGTGCAAATAGCCCCTTTCACCCTTTTTAAAAATAAGATTTTTCTTCAAAGGTAGCTTGAGTCATGAGTAGATATATGATATTTTATTATAATTATGAAAATATCATCATATTAATTTGTTTGCGGTAAGTATAGTATCAATAGTCAATCTCTCCCCTAAACTTTTTTTTTTTTTTTCTGAATTTCGAATCCGTGTCAGTGTCATTCTTCTTGGGTTGATTTTGTTGTGTGACGATATTTAGTGGCTGAGACAATGAAATCTAATTTATATACCTTTTTCTGGTTGCTTGTTTTTTTCTTGTTAGATGTGTGAACTTGAGAGAGGAACACTGACCTATGCCTTTTTCATTCTTTTTTGGCCAATCAATTCATTTTCATTGTTCACCAAATCCAAAATTACACTTACTTTTATATAATAATCTTTCCATTATTGTGTACGTGAAGAGGATGCTACGAAGTAATATAAATATTTGAAAGGGTAAAGAAATGCATGGTTAGAGTTTGGGTTTTTATTACAAAAATTTTCGAAGAACTAAAATTGCTTAAAATTAGAAATATTTGTAAGAAAACTTTAAAGTTGTACATGTTAAAATTGAGTTAGAATCCCTTCTTGCTAAGAATTTATTAGACTTAGACCTAAACTAATCGTTTTCACTACATATTTTAAAACTAACAAAAATTATCACAATAATTGAATTTCATGCATAGATTGTAAAAGTTTTAAACTAGTAAAATCAATCTCTTTATTAAATTTAAATCACCCATTAATAAGACCCCACACAATTAAATTTTAACAAATCTATCATTGATTAATTAGTTATTTCCTCTTTAATTTTAATTGTTTTTTTATTTTAAGATGATGCTTAATATATTTATTTTTAATTTAACTTTATTTTAATAACATAATTA